AGTAAGCAGTATGTCAAACATCATATGTCATAAGGAAATAGCTATTTTTTTTTAAATGAGATATCACCATACACCTAGCAGAATGGTCAAAATCCAAAACACAGACAAAACCAAGTGCTGGTCAGAATGTGGAGCAACAAGAACTCTCATTCATTCCTGGTGAGAATGCAAAATAGTACTATCACTTTGGAAGACAGTTTGACAGTTTCTCAAAAACTAAACACACTATTAATATTAGTACATGATCTAGCAATTATACTCCTTGATATTTACCCAAATGAGGTAAAAACTTATTTCCACATATAAACTGCATGCAAATGTTTGTATCAGCTTTATTCATAATTGATAAAACTTGGAAACAACCAAGATGTCCTTCAATAGATAAAAGGATAAACTAGGGGCCGGGCACGGTGGCTCACGCCTGTAATCCCAGCACTTTGGGAGGCCAAGGCGGGTGGATCACGAAGTCAAGAGATCAAGACCACACCGGTCAACATGGTGAAACCCCATCTCTACTAAAAATACAAAAAATTAGCTGGGCATGGTGGCGCATGCCTGTAATCCCAGCAACTCAGGAGGCTGAGGCAGAAGAATTGCCTGAATCCAGGAGGTGGAGATCGCGGGAGCCGAGATCGCACCATTGCACTCCAGCCTGGGTAACAAGAGCAAAACTTCGTCTCAAAAAAAAAAAAAAAAAAAAAAAAAAGGATAAACTATAGTTCATCCAGACAACAGAATATTATTCAGCAATGAAAAGAAGTGAGCTACCCAGCCATATGAAGACATGAAAGAACCCTGAGTACACATTGCTAAGTGAAAAAAAGCCAATCTGCAAAGGCCACATACTGTTTAATTTCAACTATATGACATTCTGGAAAAGGTAAAACCAGAGAGACAGTAAAAATATTAGTTTAATGGGGTTAATAGGGAGGGAGGGATGAATAGATGGAGCACTTAGGATTTTTAGGGTAGTGAAACTATTCTGTATGATACTATGATGGTGGTTATATGTCATTACACATTTGTCAAAATCTACAGAATGTACAACATGAAGAGTGAGCCCCATGTAAATTATGGGCTTTAGTTAAAAATACCATATTGATATTAGTTCAACTGTAAGAACCGTACCATGCCAATGCAAGATGTTAGAAATAGGGGCAACTGGAAGCGACAGGTATAAGGCGCTGTAGGGGAACTTTCTACACGTTCCGCTCAATTTTTCTGTAAATCTAAAACTGCTTTTTTTTTTTTTTTTTTTTTTTGAGATGGAGTCTCCCTCTGTTGCCCAGGCTGGAGTGCAGCTATGCGATCTCAACTCACTGCAATGTCTGTCTCCCCGGTTCAAGCAATACTCCTGCCTCAGCCTCCCGAGTAGCTGGGACTACAGGCACACGCCACCACACCCAGCTAATTTTTGTACTTTTAGTAGAGATGGGGTTTCACCATGTTGGCCAGGATAGTCTCGATCTCCCAACTCCATGATCTGCCAGCCTCAGCCTCCCAAAGTGCTGGGATTACAGGCGTGAGCCACCACACCCAGCCGTCCATTCATGATTTTAAGTGCAGGGGAGGAAGGCTTAAGCCAAAGTCAATGGGTTGAGAACTACAGACTGGATGCAATTTATTCCATCCAACCAAGAACACAGAATGGAGTACAATGAGGGGATTTTTTTAAGCCAATGTTATATAAAAACTACAAAACTGTTTGGATTTAATTTGCTGTTGTATGAGTAATACCCAAATGTCAATTACTACCATTTACAAATAATTAGAAAATGCCTTTTATTTTCTTTATTCACAAGGTGCTAAAGCAAACCAAAAGATCTGGGGAAAATATTTTGCTACCCAACTTCACATCCATTAGGATTTTGTGAGTAACATAATTACTCCTAAACAAAGCAAGTTGGCATCGAACATCCTTTGGGAGTTTATGCCGTTCAAGAAGCACTTATGTATTGCAAAATGCCTATGCTTAATCCTAACAAGCACAAAAGAGTGACAGGCTTTAATGCATGTAACTCAATGCTGACCTTTTTACTCTTGCTTTTCGTTTTAAAAAGCAAAGAGGATGAACCACTTACTTACCTTACTGAATCAGACCAAGAACAGGTTTTTGGCCTCTCTGTTCAATGCTCTATTACTCAGTGAAGACAATCACTGATAATCACTCAGTGCTACCCACAAAAGAAACTCTGCTGCTCTACAAAGCCAAGACATGTTCAGCCACCTTCCTCTGTCCCTCTAGCCTACAAGGGTTCTTCAGAGCCTGTGATGGAGAAAGAACTACAAAACTTCAGAGGGTAATACAAAGTCGTAGCTGGTCTTTGCTACCCAGGGCTCAGAGTCTAAAAAATAACTGGCAATATTTTCACTTAATGAAGCACCTGCTGCATGTTTCTCCTTTATGGGATCTACATCTATAAAGAATTTGCATCTCCATTGCCAGTATCTCATTCATAAGTGGAAGTAACAGTAACAATGATCTACCTGAACTTTGGCAATCCCTAGAGGAGAGTTTTATTGCCTATGATTAACACTTGAAAGCAAGTTAATCCAAAGAGCTGCAAATACTAGTTATGAAATAACTGTAAAATAAAATAAATATGGCTATAAAATAAAGCCACAAAAGTTTCAAGCTATAAGAGAATATAGATTATCTAAACCCAATATTATTTGTATAATTATGTATTTATGCTTAAGTTGTACTGGAAAAACATTTCTGTTTATAGATGTAAAAAACATGACTGAAGAAAATAATACACAAACATTAATATAGTATACAATGTAGCAAGCATCTCATGATATCAGAATGTCTGAAATCTGCAGACACAATGGTTGACTCCATCCTCTATATTAAGAGGTCATGTGATCTGATCAAGAGGTAGTTAGTAGTGGTAGAATACAGTAGTAGAGCTGGATGTAGAGAGAACAGAACACCTAGTTCCCCATCAGTCTCTTCCCCAGGTTACGGGCTGATCCATTCCATTAGACAGCTTAAATAACCCTTCACTCTATCACTGCAATGTTTCTTCCTATCAAAGAATTCTTGCACCCCCAAAATAGTAATAGGCTGCCAGTCACCCAAATGCACACTCCTCAAATTCAAGGCCAAAATAGAAAACACAAGTTCAAATTCTAGAACTTGGCCCACAAGGTTCCATTCTGGGCAAGTGAGATGGGGCAGGAGTAAAAGCTCTGTATTGGCAGGGATTCCATCTCTGGCTCAAACCAGGTGAATTCAAAAGCTCTAGCTCTGCTGTTGAAGCTATGTGACTCAGAGGTAGTGCTCCCCCCAGCCTCTGTTTTCACATTTGCAAAATGAATATAAGCACATGAGATAATTATAGGTGAAGCAGTGCCTGGCATGAAGTACACCTCCGTAAGCACAGGAGTAGCAAAACATTCATTCCTACATCCTTAGTGCCCAGTGCAGTACCCAGCACACCACAGGCACACCAGACGTTTGCTGAGTGAAGCAGAGAACCCACTAAATCCAGTCTAAGATTCAATTAAAATTCCTGGGCCCAACCTGTAAGTGGGCCCCTAACTTACTCCAAACCAGGGACCCATGTCCCCTAAACCAAGGATGGTCTTGATCATTGACAAAGGAAGAGTCTGTTCATATGCTTGAAGTAAGGCACAGCCTGAGAATCTGCCTCTAAGAAGCCACATACATCACAGTCTGTGTTCATTTCATCCCAAAAGATTGGCACTTTGGGCTGCCCTGGCATTCCATTGTCTCTCTCTTCATTTTTATAAGCAACAAGCTGACAAAATGACATTTCAGGCACCTGACTTTAGTAAACGCCCTTTAAAAAGGCCTGGGAACAATTCTCACAGCTAGGACTCTACTCTGCTAAGGCAACCTTTCTTAGCTGAAAGGTATCACCTACTAAGAAATCCATCATAGAAACAGATAAAGTAGGAGAGTCAGAGACAATTCCGCTATCTGCCTTCATGTGGTTTCTAATTCTCAAAACTAAAAGATGGACTGAGCTATTTTTAAATGAGGAGACTGAAAACGCACCAAAAACGTTCTCACAATCCAAAGCACTCATCCCTAGAGCACACTTATTTGGCCAGAAAAAGAAACTCTTTGGCTCTGCAAAGTGAAGCAGAATGAAAAATTGCATCTCTCCCCTTGTACCAAAAGGAAAAAACGCAAAAATGGCTTTACAAAAGGTCCAAGAATCTTTGAAATAAGTTTTTTCTGAGGACTATGGACATTCTTTCTCACACCTTTACGTTTTCAAGGATAACGGGAGAGGTAAAAAGGAGAGCTTTGGGAGCAGGAGAGGGAGAGAGTTGGGATATGTTCATTCTATTTTTAAATCCTCGCCCACAGTTTAGAGTAAAGGAACACTCTGATTCTCTACTCCCACCCCTATCACCTTCTGCTAAACACAAGAATCAGAACCTGCGCACGTACTGATTCTAGATTTAGAGATTACTGGCTGCCAATACTCCAAGGAATCGCAAGCTAACCAAGCATTCCACCCAGGGAACCCGGCGGCCGGACGAGGCTGGAGCTGCGTGCAGAGAGTGAAGCAGTCACAACCCGCCTTTTCCCAAGGGGAGGCAGCGCCCCCTCGGCAGGGCACGCTCCATTCTCACGGCTGGGCACCCAGGGTTGAGCAATTCTGCCACTAAGAGAGCTGGAGCTGAGGACGCGATGGGATCTTCCCGCAGGCTGCGGCGCGCTCTGCACTCTGGCCCCACTCCTGGGACACCTGCGTGCCGTGCACGCCCACGCCCACCCGCGTTCGGTCACCTCCCGGCCAACCCCGAACGCAAAAGGCGTAGCGACGGGTCTCTCTCTCCTTCTGATGGTTGCTGGTCCGCCTGCTTTCGGTATCCTTCCTGCCTCGGAGGCGTCGACACCCGTCCCCCAGTGTACCGGGGGCAGAACCCCTGCGGACGCGCGGGCGACCCGGGCTGAGCGCCACCTCCCCGTACCTCCCGCCCCGGGGCCGCGTCCCCGCGGGGCTCGGGACACTCACTCTTGAGCGCGCTGATGAGTGACTTCCCGTCCTTGATGAGCTCCTTGATGAATTTGTTGGTCTTGTCCAGCTCGGCTTCGTGCGACTTGAGCGTCTCTCGGAAGTGCGGGCTATCGAGGCAGCAGTCGCTGAACTCCAGCGCGGGGAGCCCCATGGTGCCCGCGGCGCCCAGCCGGAGGGCGCGCCTCCTCCGGGGTCCCGGCCTCCCGCCGGCCAAAGCACGCACGCGGCGGGACCCCGGCCGGCTCCCCGACGGCCGCCGGCTCCACAGGTGTGGCGCCGGCTCGCCCCACCGCGCGGTGTCGCCGGCTCGCACAACTCCGGAACCGAGCCGGGACCCAGCCGAGGGGCGGCTGCTCCGGGAGCGCGCAACCGAGCGGCTCGCGAGCAGGAAGTGCAGTGCAGACCCGCAGCGGCGCCGGGAAGCAAGCGAGCGAGCGGGCTAGCGAGTGCAGACGCCGCCTCCCCGCCTCCTTCGCTCGCTAGCTCTCGGCAGCCTCGAGCGCCCTCTCACAGAAGCCTCGGCCGCCCCGCCGGCGTCTGGGCCACTCGAACCCGCTAGCGATGACTTAATCCCCGCCGGGCCAATCAGAGCGCCCTCCCTTGCCCGACCCTCTGGCCGCCCCGGGAAGCCCGGCCCTTCCGCGGCTTGATCCAATCAAAGGGGCCTGGAGGCAGGGTCTGCGGCTGGGGGCGTGGCTCTCGCCAACGCCTAGGTCCGCAGCGCAAGCTCCGCCTCCTCTCGCCCTCCCGGCGCTGCACACCCCGAAACCTAAGGGTGAGCGCTGCAGTGCACGCCCCCCAGCCACCTTGCTCGCCTGCTCCGGCCCGAATCCGAGCCGCGGATGGCGAGTCTGCTAGTCCTGGGGGCCGAGGAGCTTCAATGTGCCAAGCATGAAAAATCTGGGAATTAGGGCTGCAGTTCGCCACCGCCTGCCCTGCACTGCTGGGCAACCGATGTTATCCTCAAAATACAATCCCCCGTCCCGGGAGAATCCCAAGCGGTGATTCTCCCTCCTCTTTCAGTCAGGCAGAAAAATGTTACTTGCATCTTAAAATTACCAGCTCTAGCAGCTCTTCTTGCCTGCAGTCTTTCCGCCCCCTACGGTCCGTCCCCCTCACGGCCACTCCTGCTCAGAACCCGCCCACGGCCCCCTCCCCCCACCCGGCCAAAGGAGCTCAGAGCCATCCTTACGAGAATTTCAGCTGCCTGTTATTTTCCTGCTCTGCATCTAGCACAATTTTACATAATTCTGTCCACTGCCTGTCCTCCTTCGCTACACGGTAAGCCCCACGAGGGCAAGTGCCACTTCAATTTTCTTGTCCGCTGTTGCATCCCGGCACCTAGCACAGTGGCTGGCATTTAATAACAGATATTGGGCGCTTACTATGTGCTATGTGTGCTACGGCGATTGACAAATGTTTGTGGAATAAATGAATGGATCCTTCCCCAGGGCCATCTCCACCTCCCATGCCCAGTGCATTGCCCTGTAGTCCCTCTGTTCGACCGCAGGACTCAATTCTGGTATCTCACTCGTTGCACTTGTCAGACTGCGTCCCACAGAGTGTCTAGTGCTAAATTGTGAACTCCTGGAGGATAGAGACTGTCCTTGAATAAATTATTTCTATGTCTAGGAACCAGCAACCATTTCAGCTACATGGGGGTTTCGTATTTGTTTGGGTTGGTTTGTTTTTTAACTAGGTCTGCTATGTGTAGGCACTAACCTAGATGGTAAGGACACAAAGAGGAATAACAGAATGAATGTAGCTGCTGGTGGTCAGTAGGAGAGATGGAAGCAAACAAGGAATAACCATGCCTTGTGATGGGATAGAAGGCCTGGATGCTTGGAAACATGGATTTTTCACTCAGGAGGGCTCAGAGGTGTCCCATCTATATTAAGAAAGCAACTGATTTATTAAATTCATAAATGGAGCACGGTGGCTCACACCTGTAATCCATTGCTTTTGGAAGCCAGGTGAGAGGACTGCTTGGGGTCAGGAGTTCAAAACCAGCTTGGACAACATAGTGACACCCCCATCTCTACAAAAAATTGTAAAATAAATAAGTAAATGTATAAATGAGTTAATGTGATCTGTTTGATAATTGCATCTACAAATTTAGACTTGATAGCAGGCCCAGACAGCTATCTGATAGATAATTACAACCCCAAAATAATTGTTCTTCACTTGTCAAAGATGAGAAAGATCTAGAACAGAAACCCTATGAAAGTAAATCTGTTCAGTGCTTTATCTTGAGCATTTAAAGGTAGGTGTTCTGGTTATCTATCAATACAGAACAAAGGACACCAAAAATTAATGGTTTAAGACAGCAGCAATCATTTTATTTTCTCTCACAATCTCTGTGGGTTAGGAATTTGGGGAGGCTGAAACCACTCGGTGGTTCTGGCTTGAGGTCTCTCATGTGATTGTAGTTGGATGGTGACAAGGTCTGGAGGAGTGAATGGTTAGCTAGGCATCTCCCACTTTTCAGGTAACTCAGGACTTCTCCATATTATGGCCTTTCTCTGTGGCCCAGTTTAGGCTTCCTCACAGTATCACAGCCTTAAGGCTCCAGTGTGAACATAGACAGCTCACAAGGGAAAAGCTGCAACACCTTTTATGATCTAGCTTTGTGAGGTGAAAGGCCTGAAGGACTTGTTTTCCAATCACAGACCCACTGATCAAACCAGGATCCAGTCAACACAGGGTGCAGTGAAGCAGCCAGCAGAAACCAGCAGATGAGGAAGAAAGAGACTTAGTTACCCTCACTACTCATTAGCATAGACACTCCCACCATTGCTATGACAGTTTATAAATGCCACTGCAAGGAGCCATGGCAATAGCCTGGAAGTTACCTTATATGGTTCTGGAAACTCCCTGCCCCCTTTCCAGAAAGTTCTAAATAACCCACCTCTTAATTAGCATATAATTTAAAAGTAGGCATAGGTACAGCTGCCAACAGCCCATACACTGCCCACTCTGAACACACTCCCTATGGGATGGCTCTCCTCTACAAGGAGCAGCACTGATTCAATGAAAGTTGCTTTCTCTCACCACTGGCTTGCCCTTGAATTCTTTTCTGGGCAAAGCCAAGAACCCTCCTGGGCTAAGCTGCAATTTTGGGGCTTGCCTGCCCTGAATCACTTGGAAGTCACACACATCTACCACTTTCATTGGCTACAAGCAAGTCATATGCCCACCCAGATTCAAAGGGAAGGAGATGAGACTGTACCTCTAGATGGAGGAATGACAAGAATGGGAGATATTATCATAGCCATTTCTGAAAAATATAATCTGCCACAGTGGGCCTGGCATACATGGTCATATTCAATACATTTTAAATGACTGAAATAAAATGTGATCCATAATTATTTGTTTTATCTCATTTAGGAATAGTAGGCAAATGTGTATAAAATATATACATGTATTAATAATAACAACAATAATATATCAGCTATCATTTGTTAAGCTCTGAGTTTATGCCAGGCACTGTGGTAAATTATTTACATGCATTTATAGCTAGCATAGTGGCACACGCCTTTAATCCCAGCTGCTCAGGAAGCTGAGACACAAGAATCGCTTGAGCCCCGGAAGGCAGAGTTTGCAGTGAGCCAAGATCATGCCACTGCACTCCAGCCTGGGCGACAGAGCAAGACTCTGTCTCAGAAAAAACAAACAAAAAAATTATTTACCACATATAATCCCTACAAGGTGTGACTGGTACTATGATAGTTCCCATTTTTCAGATAAGAAATTAAGGGTCAGAGTTGTAACCTGAACCAGCTTACCCAGAAAATATTAATAATTATATGTGGCACAAACATATAACCTAATACGCCCATTCACAGACAAATATGTAAATATGTGAATACTGTGTAAATTTCTCATAAATTTAATCTGGAATTTCCACAAAAGACCTCCCATACTTTCAGTAGTATTATCAGAAAGAGAGAATCAGAATTCAGCAATACAGGCTGGGTATGGTGGCTCACGCCTGAGGCCGAGGTGGGTGGGTCGCAATGTATCAGAGATAGAGACCATCTTGGCCAACATGATAAAACCTTGTCTCTACTAAAAATACAAAAATTAGCTGGGTGTGTTGGTGCGTGCCTGTAGTCCCAGCTACTCGGGAGGCTGAGGCAGGAGAATGGCTTGAACCCAGGAGGCAGAGGCTGCAGTGAGCCGAGATCATGCCACTGTACTCCAGCCAGGCGACAGAGCAAGACTCCGTCTAAAAAAAAAAAAAAAGGAATGCGGCAGTACAGAAACTGGCACACGGAGGGTGCAGTTGTCTCTCTCCTCCCAGAAAATCAGCTCATGAGGGTAGAGATCTTGTATTATCCAATGCAGCAACCGCAGCTTAGAACAGCAATTGGAACTTCAAAGGTGCTGAACATCAATGGGAGGGAAACATCTTTAATAAAAAAGAAACAGGACTCATGGGACAACATCAATTATGGCCATGCATGTAAATAGAAAAGAACAGTTAAGCCCCAGAAATCACTTTCATATGAAATAGAGAAACAGTTCAGGCAACATTTGGCCTAAATCCTTTGGATGAATGTCTGAATTTCTTAAAATTAGCCAATTAGTTCAAATAGTTCTGCTTTTATATATATTTTAAAACTACATTATTTCTGGCCTCAGTGGTCCAAATAATGTTATACCTGTCATGCAATTACCTCCCATTTGTAGAAACTTTACCACTGGCAAGGCACTCCCGTGTACATAGTCTCTGAGCCCATATAATCAGAAGTGGGCATGGACCAGTCACACATTGGTTCCTCAACACCAGCTCGAGAACAGATCTGATCCATAATGAAGCATTTATGGGTCCTTAAGTAACTGAGAAGTTGAGGGGTAGATCCAGCTTCAAGGCAGCCTCTGGGGATCTAGAAGATGATACCAGCACAAGGTTTCTCTCTCTATCCCTCAAGGTGACCTTTGTCTGCAGTGGCTTCATTCTCAGTGGCTCTCTCAGCTTCTCCAAATTACATCCAGCAATATTAGCAGGAAGACAGTTTTCTAAGAATTCCAGCAGAAATGACAAGGCTGGAGTCAAGGATAAAACAGCCCCACTCCGAAAACATAAAGTACTGGGGAGAAGTTGTTCCACCAAAGGACAAACACAGTGCGTTTGGCAAAGAAAGCAGGGATCGCTGCTGCACAGGCAGAAGCAATAATGTATAGTACACTGACCCGTCCCCAACTCCCTTACAATGAATGCTCCTCCTGCCACATTCCCATGGTCCCATAATTCAAGTTAGCACATATTCATTCTTTTTTATGGTTGATACCACATGTTGTGCTACACAGTGACTTCTCCTTCAGTTTTCCTATTTTAAAATAACAATTTGTGGTTGATATAAATGTTCTATAACTCAATTGGTGATGGTTACACAGGCATTGCATTTGTCAAAACTCACGGGTGCATTTTATTGTGTATAAATTATACCTCATTAAAGGTTGATTTTAAAAAATAATGATGATGACAGTGATGCTGATATTAAGCTTTTGCTGTGTAGTGGGATCTGTGCTAAGCACT